ATGACTTCTGGCAAATTACAACCTCAGGATCCTCATGTGTAAAGTGTCTCTGCCTTCACCATGTTGCAAAAAATCTAATCACTAGTAAACCATGTTGTTATGTGCCGTCGAGTCGGCCCCAACTCATAGTGACCCCTCCTTGGGTTTCCGAGGCAGTATCACTACGGAAGTAGGATTGCCCAACCTTCCTTCCGAGGAGTGGCTGGTGGGTTTGAACCGCCAGCCTTCTGGTTAGCAGTCAAGTGCTTTAGCCACTATGCTACCAGAGCTCCTTAGTAAACCACAGGCTATGTAAAATGTAAAACATACATTTTTGTTTATTTTATAATGGCATTACTGGGTATGCAAATTCCATCTAATAGAATGTGTAGGCTTCTAAAGACAGGACCCTCAAACAGTTACAACTTTCTGTCCCATCTAGTGCTATGTATTTAGCCGGTATTTCAAAAATGTTTGTGTAATACTTGGCAGTAACATGAGAATGTATGCATGGGGGGAAGGGGTATACAGCAAATGGAATATCCAACTTCCTAAAAGGATTTACAATGAAAATATTCCAACTTTATCTGCCCCCCACTAAAGCGGCCAATGACAAATTGATGGGAGAGGTCAGATTTTCATTTTAGAACCTTATAGCTCCAATTTCTCCCCTAATGTGTAATTTTCTTTTCCCTGAATGCCTAAGAAAAAATGGAGAAGGTATTTACAGAATAACCAGTGAATTACAGAACAAGAAAACAGCCAACAGCAACTTTATAAAATTCTGTTCACCAACTGCTGGCCTTTAAAGAAGAGCTCCTTCTCAAGTTGAAACCTGTAAAATGTAAACCCAGCCTTTGTGAGACAAACTGAAATAGTGTCCCCTCAGGCTGCACAAATACCTCAGTGAAGTCACCTGAATGAGCGCCTCCCTGATACAGTCTGATCTACCTCGCAAAGATAGGTTTGTCCTGGGAGGAAAAAAAATGCTGTTCGTTCCACGTTAAACGCCTATTCATCAGAGGACCCACCAGAATAAGATGCAATGTCAATTACTGTGATTTAGACACTTAAGAATGATATGCAGATATAGTTGTTTAAAAACCATTTAATCACTATTTGTTCCTAAAATTTATCAGGAGCTTGGGAACTATTCTGGTCTCAGTGTTAATTTTAGGAGTTTCATAAACTTTTATTAAATTGGCTTCATAGCAGTACTCTCTTCCTTAATCTGTTTTTAGGAGGAAAAGCTACCTTCCTCCAAGATCAAGACCCTCTCTGCCAACTTTCCCTCCACAATTATCATCAACTTGATAAAAAGGATTATTTAAAACAGGCGAGCTCTGGTGGTGTAGTGCCGAAGGCATTTGACTGCTAACCAGAAGGCTGGCGGTTCAAACCTACCAGCCACTCCACAGAAGGAAGATGGGGCAACCTACTGCCGTAGAGATACTGCCTCGGAAACCCAAGGAGGGGTCGCTATGAGTTGAATCCACTCCGCGGCAGTGAGTTTTTTTGGTTTATTTAATATAGGGCAAATCCTCAGCTACAATCTTACTATCAACTACCCCACTAATAGTGATAAAACTTTTTATGACTGAAAATATGAAAGCCAATACTTTTAAGCAACAATTGAATAATCCATATGCTTAAGATGGGAAAGAAGATCTAGAAGTTGAAGGCAAAACAAGAGAGACTTTTTAGAAAAGGGGGCCTTGCTGAGATTTCTCTCCACAACAGTCAGAAAGTGCAGTTCTGGCAACTGTAACTCACGATGATACACTGCACTGTAGATTACAGTGTATGGTGCTTAAGATATGGCTGCTTTTAGAATCCAAGCTGATTTTCCTGGCTTTTGTACAGCAAAAGACGAAAATGGTACAATGATCTAATTTGTACTTGCCATCTGTTAGTACATGTGTCCCACTCCTAAAAAAGATGCCAGTTAAAATGATCATGTAATTTTATATATGCATGTATATGCATGAAATATTTCTGTAAAGATATATAAGAAATTGTGAATGGCAGTCTCTGAGGCATGGAGTTTTAGCAGCTGGACACAAAGAGAGTCACTTGTCATTATGCTTACTGTTTAATTTTTATGATAAATATTTTTTATAATAAAAAAAGTGACTTGGGATCAGTGCCAAAATATGTACGTTTCTGTGACTACTTAAATGTGATCTGATTTTGCTTATCTCAAAGTCTGTGTTTGAAGTTCAACATCAAAAGGAAGGCTGGAAAAGTGGTGGGCAGACCTATTTCTTTCACACTGCTCACTTCAAGTTTCACATGCTCTGTAAGGGCAAAGCACAATATGCATCACTTGTTTAAGGGTATGTGAAATTTGAACTGGATGGGAGATTTAATAGATGCACCAACAGTCATGGTACTTGAATTCGTGGGAAATAATTAGTTAGCTAGAGCCCAGGAAGTGAATGGAGTTAGGGAGTGAATATGCTGAGCATCAATATACACACAGATACATAAAGCTTTGCCAATTAAATTACTGATCATTAACGTGTGTGTATTTAATGATAAGAATATATATACATATATATATATGTATATATATGTATTTGTGTATGTATATATACATGTGTTTGTGTATGTATGTATCCTTGTCATTAAAACACAGCCATATAGTGAGAAATACGAAGCTCACTACACACATACACACACACATCTCCCTTCCTACCTTACCTCCACCCCCGCACACAATTTCCACCAGGACATCATTTCTGATCCCAGAACAAGTACAGTAAATTCCAATCTAGTTCTTAGAAATCACCTAGCTAAAAAGTAAACATTTTCACACTTAAACACAATGTACATACAAAAATGTTTTAAATAACTTTTTTGCAACGTAAAGAGTTTTAAGTTCATTGTTTTATGAACTTAATTTAGCAAAAATATTACTGAAAACTGAAGAATTTCTCAGCAAAAACAAATCCAAGTATATAACATTTTTACAGTAAAAAAGTCAGGCTGGAGTCTAACTAGGTGAACTCTAAGTTCTCTTACAATCACCAAGACCAAAAGTTAATATATCTGCCTCTCAGAAACAGCAACCTAATTTGGCTGATACTGTCTGATACTGTCTCATTCTACCACATTATCTTTATAACACAGGAGTAATCACTGAGTAATCTACCTCTGCAATCCCCTCAAATAACCTTTAGCCACATAGTAGCTACAGCAGAAAAACTCAGAAGGTTCAGATCAACAGCCTGATCTTTACTTCAATTAAGAAATTCTTGTCCAGAAATTTTCGGTGGAAACTCAGACATTCTGAGGTATCAAGACAAGGCCTTGTCTTTGAAAATTTCAGCATTTGCAAACAGACAAAACTAAGACTTGGAAGATATTCAAAAGTCAACAGAGAAAAGTTAACAAATCAAAATTTTTAAACAAAAATGGCTGGACATAAATTTCAAAAATAATTTGGACAAGTTTAAAAGTAGAACAATTAGGAGAAAATAGTTCAAGAGCATCACCATAAGACCTTAACAGAGTACCTCTTTGCAATGTCTCTAGAAAGGTCCCTCTTCCCAGACACTGCTGGTTCTAAGTATTTCCAGTACCTTGAAAATCTGAATACAGTACAGTTCATTTCTCCAATCTCTGGAAAATAGAGGCTCTTGGAGTTTCACTTTATAAACATTTTAGCCAGTGCCACCTGCCTAAAGACTGGCCTATAAGTAAAACGGTATTTATTAGCAAGGTGTTGAAAAATGCTTTTCTAAAAATTATTCCACACACAATAATTGAACTCCACTTTTGAAAGCACTTTTTGTAAGTCATATTCTTTCTATGGAATCCTGATGCTATATAAATTTAGTGTACCAGAGAATAGTGGAGGGAAAAAAAAAAACACAAAACCATGATCAAAAGAATCATTTGTCGGCAAAATGTTCCTCTCAAAAGTCTCCACATGTTATTAGCCTTATAGAATTACCCTACTTTGACAGAAGAATGGCTTGGGGCAGTTCTTTCTGGAAGTTCATTAATACCAGCTACTGGTAAAATCAAGTCTCCAAATGCAATGAGGATTTAAGCACTACAAATCAGATGCCAGTTTCTCACACTACCCTGTTAAGCATAGTAATGAATTTTTCCGCTTGTCTCCATATTTCAATGATTAAAAAAAAAAAAAAAAAAGACCTTGATCTGATCAAATATAATTTTCAATACTTTAAGATAAACATGCCCATCCTTATCTACCACCCTACAATGAAATTTTTAATACATCTCTTTCCTGGTTTCTAAAGGTCACTCACGCATATTTCTATACTTGCTTTGAATCAAAGCAAAGACAGTTAAGGAGAGCCTTTTTGCCCAGGGACAAAACCGTGCCCAGCAATTACAGTGAGCGCAGACACTTCTTTTGTTTTCTCTGTACCAGGATTAGCAGTCAAATAGCTTTGTGGCCCTTAATTAAGGGTGAACTGCTCTAAAGAACGATAACTTTAAAAGGGAATTTCTGCTTTAATTACATATAGGCAATGCAGGCAGTAAAGGCATTTGCTCCCCCTGAAATTCCCTTCATTTAGACCTTTCCCTCTATAGCTTTTTTTTCAACAGAGGAAACAACAGTAACACTCAACGCGGGAGAGAAAGATAACTAAATATCTAAAAGGCAAACGCATTTAAGGTGGACCTTCTTGACTGATACAAGAATGCGTTGTGATAGACCTGAAACAAGAAAGGCAGGCCGGGATGTGAGTTTCTGATAAACGCTTCAGAAAAGTGGGACCAAATGGCGAATAATCAAGGGAGAGACAATCCCGTTAGAACAAGAACATAAAGAGATGCTAACGAGGAGCATCTTGGCCCTCGCGGGGAGGTAAAAACTATATGTAATTTAGAAATTGGGGAAGGGAATTGCTGTGTGGCCCAAGCTGGGGAACCAGAGCCCACGAGCGGCTGTTTAAACCCCACAGGCTGGGCCAGAAGTGGAGGCGGCCCGGGAGCTGAGCTGCTGGTGAGCAGTAGTAGGGGACAGGGCTGTCACCGCTTACCCAGGTGCAACGTGAGGTTGATGGAGTTGGGGTACTGCACCCCGGCCAGCATGGTCTGGCTTTGCCACCAGGTGGTGTCGGCCTGGTTGTTGTAGTCGGTCAGGAAAGCTGCCCCGTGCTGCAGGTGGGGCTGCCCAGCGTCGCACAGGTGACAGGACTTTGTGACCCCGGTCACCCCGGTCTGCACACAGTACTCCTCGGGCGGAGTCCCGCACGTGTTGGTGGCTACCACGGTCACGTTGAAAGCGGCGTTGACGAACTCAGGCATGCAGCGCTGCGGCCGCCCGCCCTCGTCCGTGCACTCGTCCATGGCTGCCCGGGCGCAACACACCGCGGCGGCCGTCAGCACAGCCAACATCGGCCAAAGCCGCCCCCGAGGCCGCAGCACCGGCGCAGCCCGCTCGCTGACCCTCATCTCGCCGCCCGCGCACTAGGCTATGGCAAAGGCAAGGGCGCGTTCCTCTCGCCCAACAGTGTCCCCCGGAGGCCGCTCCGCGGACTGAGCTTCTCAGCCTAGGGACCGGACTCTCGGTGAGGGTGGTGGCGGCGGCTCGCGCTGGAAAGAAGAGCCGCTGGGCGCTGCTGGCTGGGACCTTGAGGCTCGCTGACTACTGTCCCACGCGCCGCCTCCGCGCCTCCCTCCACCACCGGGACACAGATCTACTCTGCTCCGACCCCCGACTTCCTAGCGCGTGCCCGAGCGCGCGCCCCCGCGGAGAAAGCCTCAAGGGGTGGGGTCGGCAGGGTGGGGTGGGGTCTAGCCGCGGAGAAAGCCCAACCCCGGCCTCCTCTCAGCAGCTCCCGAGGCCCCCGTGGCTACTCCCCCGCCCTCCGCTCGCCAGGGACTGCGCGTCGGCCCAGGCGACTGGCGGGGGCGGGGGGGGGGGCGGTGTCTTGCTCTTCGGGCCCGGGCGCGCGATCAGTGAGGGAGGGGCCAGAGGGGCGCGCGGGGAGAGAGGTGGGGGCTGAGAGGAGTGTGGAGGGAGGGGCGGTGGGGTAGTGCATGCCGGGAGGGAAGGGAGGCTGCGGAGAGTGGTAGATGGGCGCGGACGGATTGCTGGGGTCTTCTGGCTCTGCGTCCCCGGAAGACGCCAGCTTGGGGGAGGGGTAAAAGAGGTGATCTTAAAGGGGCGACGCCGAGGCAATTGGGTCACTCAGGGTCGGCCTTTGGGTTTAGGGCCAATCTGGGCCTCTACAGCGTGGGTTCCCGCCCCGCCAGGTGTTTGCCTTTCCGCGTGGCGGAGCAGCGGGGCAGGGACCCGATTGTGGGGACTGCCTTAGGGCCCTTCGCCCCGCCGCGGAGGCCCTGCAGCAGCAGGGGGTCCGCTCCAGCCTTCCCGAAGGAGAAGTCCCAGAGTATGGAGGGAACTAACAGTCCCTGGAGAATAAAGGGCCTTCTTGCAGCATCTAAATGAGTTTTCTGAGGCGATTTCCGGCCGATAAATCAATGTGTAACCAGTCATCTTACTAGGGGCAAGGAAGGAAGTGAAAACGCTGGGAATGGAATGACATTTTTCCCCTGGGTACGCCAGGTCGACTGCGAAATTATTCCACTGCGTTGTTTGTGCTCCCCAGCTTGCCTTTAAAAGACTCGAAATTATCTGGATACTGACATCCTCCTTTTCGGGCCTGCTGAGTCACGGAATATTCTCATTGCCAGAATGACTCAGTTCACAGGACCTGAGCCAGAAGATCATGAGTTTTGGTTCCAGATCAGAACCTGGGCACTTAACCAATGCTGATAACACAGCAAAAGGAGGGGGAAGGGAGGTCGTTGTAAAAATGGGCTTGCCCGAAGCGGATGCACGAACCAGACGCTCACGAAACAGATTTTTTTGTTTAACTTTTTAGGGTCTTAAAATTAGGAGCTTTGGTAGCTTAGTGCATAAGGCACTTGACTGTTAACCAGAAGGCTGGTGGTTCAAACCCACCAGCCACGCCTGGGAAGGAAGATGGGGTAATCTACTTCTGTAGTGACACTGCCTGGGAATCCCAAGGAGTCGGTCCGACTTAAGGGCACATAACAACAATAATGGTAAAGTCAGAATAATATGTGGCAGAAAACATACATGGCTTTGTACCCAGTGATCCTGTTAAGATAGAAATAATGGGGATCGGAAATAAGTAAATGTTATTTTACTGTGTTTTGGGTCATTGTTAGCCCTAGAATTTTTAATTGGGAGAACTAGGAGTTCTGGTAGCATAGTGGCTAAAGCACTTGACTGCTAACCAGAAGGCTGGCGGTTCAAACCCACCAGCCACTCCTCGGAAGGAAGGTTGGGCAATCCTATCCGAGTAGTGATACTGCCTCCGAAACCCAAGGAGGGGTCACTATGAGTCGGGCCGACTCGACCGCACATAACAACAACAGAGATAATGGTCTGGTTGGATGGGGATTGGGAGAGGATCAGTGGTTATTTGTCACAATGCTTACCTCGTTTAGCAAGTTTTTGCTATGTGCGCTGGAGTCAGACCAACTCATAGCGACCCCTCCTTGGGTTTCCGAGGCAGTATCACTACCGAAGTAGATTGCCCAACCTGCCTTCCGAGGAGTGGCTAGTGGGTTTGAACCGCCAGCCTTCTTGTTAGCAGTCAAATACCTTAAGCACATTGATCAATTATGTTGTTCGTTTATTTGATTATAGTTTGCTAAAGATCTCTAACTCCTCATCCCTTAGCACCTTCTCTTGTTGTTGTTATGTGCCGTCTGTCAGACCTGACTCATAGCGACCCCTCCTTGGGTTTCAGAGGCAGTATCACTACGGATGTAGATTGCCCAAACTTCCTTCCCAGGAGTGGCTGGTGGGTTTGAACCATCAGCCTTCTGGTTAGCAGTCAGATGCCTTAGGCAGTATGCTACCAGATGCACCTTCTCTTGGGAGATGCAAATTGGAGGAGGGCCTATAATAATTTTTAGTCTTTTCGTATTTGCGTCAAAGCAAATATTCTTTTATACCTAAAGGATAATAATCTTATTGCTGGCTCAATCAGTAATTGCACTTGAGAACAAAAAAAAAAAACAGCCAATGGTTTTGCATTAGCCTACTCACCCAAAGGTTAAAAGTTCAAACTGTGGCACTATGTAAGAAAGGTCTGGGTGATCTGCTTCTCTAAAGATTATAGCCAGCTTGCTGCCATTGAGTCAATTCTAACTCATGGAAATGCTATGTTACAGAGTAGAACTGCTCCATAGTGTTTTCCTGAGCTCTGGTAGCATAGTGCCTAAGGCACTTGCCTGCTAACCAGAAAAGGCTGGCGGTTCAAACCCACCAGCCACTCCTCAGAAGGAAGGTTGGGCAATCTACTTCCTTAGTGATACTGTCATGGAAACTCAAGGAGGGGTCGCTATGAGTCGGGTCTGACTCGACAACACATAACAACAACAAGTGATGCCAACACCATAATTCAAATGTGACAATTCTTTGGTCTTCCATTTTCATTATCTAGCTTTTGTATGCATACGAGGCAGTTGAAAATACCATGGCTTGGGTCAAGCACATCACCCCAAGGTGATGTCTTTGATTTTTAACACTTTAAAGATGTCTTTTGCAGCAGATTTGCCCAGTGCAATATGTCATCTGATTTCTAGACTGCTGCTTGCAGGAGTGTTGATTATGGATCCAAGTAAAATGAAATCCTTGGCAATTTCAATATTTTTTCTGTTTTATCAGGATGTTGCTTGTTGATGCAGTTGCGAGGATTTTTGTTTTCTTATGTAATCTATACTGAAGGCTGTAGTCTTTTACCTTCTTCAGTAAGTGCTTCTTCAAGTCATATTCATTTTTGGCAATAAATATTCCAGGTATCTGGAAATCCCAGATCTGTCAATTAAATAGACATGACATTTGAAAATGTGGAAGAAAGTGTGTGCCATGGATTGAATAGTGTGTGCCATGGATTGAATTGTTTCCCAAAAAAATATGTGTCCACTTGGCTGAGCCATAATTCTCAGTGGTTTGGTAATTACATAATGATGTAATCGTCCCACATGACATGATCTGATGTGATCAGTCAATCAATTATAAGGGGATTAAGGTGGGATGTAAAAGGATTAGGTTGGGATGCAATACTCTTACTCAGGTCACAGCCCTGATTTGATGTAAGAGAAGTTTCCCTGAGATGTGGCCTTCATCACCTTTATCTTAGAGAAGAGGAGAGAGAAGCTAGCAGAGATTTGAGAGATCTCCTACCACCAAGAAAGAACAGCAGGGATTCTTTGGACCTGGGGGTCCCTGCACTGATAAACTCGTAGATCCAGGGGAAAATTTGATGACAAGGACCTTCCCCAAGAACCAATAGAGAGAGAAACCTCCCCCTTGGAGCTGGTGCCCTGAATTTGGACTTGTAGTCTGCTGAACTGTGAGAGAATAAACTTCTGTTTGTTAAAGCCGTCTACTAGATAGCCAAGACAATGAGATTTTTCTTTGACTGCTAATTCCACTATTTGCAGAAAAATCCCAGAACCTTTTTGGTAAATGTCCTTACCTGCTTGGAAACTCCATTGTCTACTAAACAGACATGGTGCTTGGAAAAAAAAAATGTGAAGGTGTGAGAGAAAACAGGTTCCGACCTCTCAAAAAAGGAATTTAGTACCCAATCATCACTGCCTCCATGCAGCAAGAAACACAGAATGATGGGTAGTTGTTTATCACACAGACAGCTAAGTTTCAAATTTTAAAAATTCCCACTTAGAACTTATCAGTATCTATATAGAAAATTTCAAGGTAGGATTCTGATTGGCCTGGCTTCGGTCACCTGCAAATCTCTGGATGAACATACCCCTAGCTAGATGAATAGAGTAACATGATTGGCAGCCCATCAGAAACCCGTGAAGTTTGGGAAATGCAGTTCTGCAAAAGAAAGAAATTGCTGTTGCCAGAAAAAGGCAGGTTACAAGATGGAAAAAAACAATAGATATCCATCTACTGTATCAACTTTTAGAATGTGTGATATAATTAGAAAAATAACTGAAAAACTGGTATCAATGTTTTAAAATTGCAGGTTTACCCTTTTTTATCATGTTATAATCATCAATGTATTTATTTTTTCTGTCCCTTAATCTTTCTGCTCTCATTTCCCTGTAGTCTTCCCAAGCCTAAGTACCACTATGCTATACTTTTATGTTTACAAATGCAACCTAAAAATAACAATTATAAATAATAATAAAAGGATGTTAGCCTATATTTACATACTGTTCTACACTTTTCAAAACGTAGTCACTTTGAAGCAAGAGATGTTGTTATCACCTTTGTACAGATGAGGAACCTAAACTCAAAGGCATTAAGTAATTTATCTGAGATGTGTAGACTTGTAGGAGGCAAAGGCAGGATGAGAGCCTGCTCATTCTGGTTTCCAGTCCAGTGCTGTTTCCTTTTCTTTTGTGTCAAGGTCATGGTAGGGAAGAGGGTAAAAGAAAAGTTATCTCAGACTTCCAAGGTTTTTATGTTATCGAATAGGAATTAAAAAATAGGTGAAAATTAATATGATACTGAAAGAGAATTACAATATCCTTCTGCAAAGTTACACTTACTACACATGATGCTTTGTGCTAAGTTTATAGATCCTGCTTGGGTCCTTGGTACAAGTCCAAACATAACAAGATAAGTTATCTTTTGTGGCAGTACGCAGGTAAGGACAAGATT